CCCCCAGCGGGGAACGACCACGCCGCAATCCCTTCTCCTCCATTCTCCTCTCGGGCTCCTGGGCATGCACGCACACGCGCCCACGTTAGTTTACGCCACCGGGTCCAGGACTCGAACCACTGTCAGCTACGTGGGAGTTCAGCGGCATAGCCATTACGCTAACTGCTGGTCCTGCCTCCCCGTTTCTGATGTTCTAGACGGAGGCCAAAAAGGATAGAAGCCAGTGCTGCTCATATAATCCTCTATGGCATCAAGAAGATAGTGATAATTAAGAGCGGAGAATGGAGGAGATGGGATTGCGGCGTGGCCACCCCCCACCCCACCTGGGAAGTGATTTCTCACTTTCTATCTCTCTGGCAAGTGCAAGCGCCCTATAACAAAAATCTTAAAAAAGAAAATAAAGAAAAAAAGAGTGATAATTAAATCTTCTGTATCTAACTAAACTAACTAAAATTGACTATTAGAAGCTTTTTATAGTTGAGAAATTTTTTTAATATTTTATTCAACTTTATTTCAATTTGACCAGAGAGAGACAGCGAGAACGAGAGAGAGTGCAAGTGAGAAAGCAAGCCACCAGGTCTGAGACTTGAACTCTGGTCGGTCATGTGGGAGTCTAGCATCCTTAACCACAGCGCCACTTGCCAGTCCCAAGAAATTATATATATATACATATATGAAAATACACACACACACACACACACACACACACACACATATATATATAGCCAATGGGTGTGTGCACTCACCAGAACAGAGAAGGAGAAGTCCCCCCCACAGCGAGCATAGTCACAGCACAGTCGTTTGTCCTCCATGACCTCAGGATTTGGGCCATGCACGTGCACATGCTTATGTGTTTCTTGAGTCTCCAGGGCCAGGATTCAAACTGAAGTCAGCCATATGGGATCTGGTTCCTTACGCACAGCGCTTAACCACTATGCCATGTGAATTCTTTTTTTTTTTTTAAGAGAAATTTTTGCTCTAGGGCATGTGAGCTCACCAGAGAGACAGAGACAGAAAGTGAGAAATCACCCCCCAGGGGAGATTGCCACACCACAATCCCTTCTCCTCCACTCTCCTCTCGGGATCTTGGGCACACACACGCACCTGGTTTGAGTTTTAACCCGCTAGGTCCAGCACACAAACCATGGTCGACTGCGTAGGAGTCCAGCGACGTAACCATTAAGCCGTCTGCTGGTCCCCAGTTGTGAATTATTTGTTCCCCTTACAAGAAATTGTTTCAAAGCACACTTTGATTTTGCAGAATTCCGATACCAAATAGATATTCCATATATTCTTTTCTCCAGACTCTTCTCCCATTAAGTAAAACTGAAATTATTTTTTTCTTACTGAACAGACAATTAACTGATTCATTTTTAAATTCTTGCCCTAGCTGTTGGAGAATTTTTTCACCTATAGTTATTTCTGTAGTCTTGCCAGCCTTCAAATTTTCTCATCATATGGGCCCACAGGCTCAAAGTCCCTTTAAACAGAAGTCAGAGGCTACCAAGACTATAAGACTAGGTGGTCTTTCATTTCCTTCCTCCGAGCATGGCAGCCTCATCGCTCCTCGGTTTGCCAAGCCAAGGGTCATCTCAGTTTACTGAGCCTACCTCCTCTCCCCCATGAGTCAGGGGTCAGCACAGCCCCTGGGGTGAGGTTGGCCTCTTCTCCAAGGGGAGAGGCAAGATCTGTACCAGGAACCCTCCCACCCTAACATCTAAGATATTTTCTTTTTGTTAATGTTTATTATACTTGTAATACTCCTGTTTTCTATTTACTCCCTTGACTTGACTCAGATGTTAGGGGAGTGTTTGAAGTTCTTCATCCCCTCTCTTCATCACCGTCTTCTGTTTTGAAACTAATCAAGCATCCTCTCTGGCTCCAGGCCTCTCAGTTATTTGTGGGAGGCCCACTCCCTGGTCCTCGGCAGGTTGAACTCTTGTGGCATTGCAGATTCAGAAAAGGCCACATACTTGCATTTACATTTTTCCTGGAGTGGCAGACAAATTTTTTTTCTGAGACTTAAATGTTTGTTTATTTCTTTCTTTTCTTTTTTTAAATTTTTTGCTATAGGGCACATGTGCTCATGGGAGAGAGAAAAGTGAAAAAGCATTCCCAGGGAGATGGTCATACCACAGTCCCTTCTCCATTCTCCTCTTGGGATTCTGGGCGTACACACACACACCTAATATTTAGAATTTTTTTTCCAAGCCACTGGGTCCAGGACTGAGTGGTCCAAACCACTTAGCCATGTGGGATCCAGCAGCCTTAACCACCACACCATTGGCCGATGACCCTATTTATTGTTTTATAAATGTAGTTTGAGGGATCAGCAGTTGGAGTAACGGCTATGTCGCTGGACTCCCATGTAGTCAACCACAATTCAAGTCCCGGACCTGGTGGCTTAAACTCCCCCCAGCACATGTGCATGTGTGCCCGAGATCCCAAGAGGAGAATGGAGGAGAAGGGATTGCAGCGTGGCCAACCCCCCTGAGGGGTGATTTTTCACTTTCTGTCTCTCTGTCTCTTTCTGTCTCTCTGGTGAGCGCATGCACCCTATAGCAAAAAAACGTTTCTAAAAAATGTAGTTTGAGGGACCAGCATATGGCATAATGGTTACGTGGCTGGACTCATGTAGTCGACCGTGACTTGAGACCCAGCAGATTAAAACTCACGCCGGACGCGTGTGTGTGCAGGCCCAAAATCCCAAGAGGAGAGTGGAGGGGAAGGGATTGTGGTGTGACCATCCTCCCAGGGGGTGATTTCTCACTTTCTATCTCTCTGCCTCTCTCTCTCTCTCTGGCAAGCACACGCTCCCTGTAGCAAAAATCCCCTAAGGAAAAAAAAAAAAAGAATAAAATGTAATTTTTTATTACTTTTCTTTCTGCAAGATTAGAAAGGCTCCAAAGGGGCAACGAATCTTAATGTTCTTGTTACAACAGCAAAGCTCTAACAGCGAGAAGTGCCAGCCTACCAACTTCCGTACTGTCCCGACTATGCACATTTTCGGATCTCGCTTTCTATAACTACTCCCTGCAAGAGACACAAAAATGGAAGGCGACGGGAATCTTAATCTAAAACCCTAAACATTGGCATTCCGATCCTGAAGACTCTAGCTCCCAGATTTGGAAGCCTTGGAAATTCTGCCACAGTCCCTAACTAGCTCTCTTGGGAAGTTCAACATGCTGCACGCAGTCGTCAGGCCGGCTCTCTGCTTCCCAGTGGTGCGGAGTAGGATCGCCACCCCTCATAAGTAAATGCAAGGGGTCCTCAGAAGGGCTGTGGAAGATACAGATTATGATGAAACCGTGCATGGATTTCAAAAATTCTGTATCAAAATAACCTTTCATTCCATTTTTCCACAAACTTTTTGAAGTCCCCTCATATTCGAAACCACAATCCCACCCAGCCTTGTTTTGGGAATAGTATCACTTTTTGCTCTTGAGTTTTTAATTTGGTCTCAAACTTGAAAGCGGTCTATATAACCTATTAACAGTTTAACACAAAGTAAAAAAGCTGGCCTGTTTACAGGAATGTTTTTTCTTCCTTTTTTAGGCTCTTTGGACACAAACTGCTCTTTGCCTTTTTGCCAGTGTTGGAGAAGAGAGTAAACATGAGACAAGCCCGTGATGCCTGGCACAGGAAGGGTGAAATGGGCCGAAGAGTTCTTCATTTAAGACCAGTTCTGTTTGCAATGGGGTATGGTGTTCAGCTAAAGGACCTCCGCCGAGCCTGACGGAAATTAATTTATTTTCTGCTTCTACAGAGTTTACATGATTTCCCACTGCTTATACCCAGAATGTGTATTTTATGGGGATTAAGGAATTTTAAAAGTGTGAACAAAAAGGTACCATTTTCCACCGTGGAGTTTTCTATTTTGTCTTTGAAAATAAACATGATCTAGAAAACCAACCAGCAAGTTTCCAGTGCCAGATAAAACTCTCTGGAGGTAACTGTTCATGTGAAGAATTGGAGTTTTCTTTTCTGACCTCAATTTCCTAGAAAAAATGGTGCACGTAACCAGAGCTTTCTAAACATGAGAAGAAAAGAAATCACATACATAGAGAAATAGCTTGTCAATTGTGAAATCTTTTTTAGAAGCTTCTCTTTATTGTATTATTTTTTTAATTATAAAAATTAAATTAGTTATTAAAAATTAAAATCAGAGCTAGCAGGTAGCGTGGAGATTAAGATGCAGGATCCCATGTGGGCAAATAGCGTGGTTCGACTCTCAGACCCGATGGCTTGAAAATCACACTGGACACGTGTGCTCACATGCCCAAGATTCCGAGAGGAGAATGAACTGCAATGTGGTCATCCCTGCTAGTGGATGACTTCTCACTTTATCTATGGTGAGCACACACACCGTGTAACAAAACTAAAAATTAATTAATTTAAAATCAACAGAGCGAGAGAAAGAAAGCATCCCGCAATGGTCAGACCACAATCCTTTTTCCTCTATGTCCCCATCCCATCAGAATGTTGAGCATTCGTGGACACGTGCCTGGTGTGTGTTTTCAAGCCACCAGGACTGGGATTCCAAGTATCGTTCACCTTGTGAAATCCAGCTTCCCGTGCCAGCTCTCCACTATGCACTAAGGGGCTGGCCTGTGAGATCTGACTGGAGAACTGTGGAGCCACGTGCTTTGGATTTCCATGCCAGGGAAGTTTACATCACTAACTAAACAAATGGGTTTATGCTGGTTTCTTCCACAGTTGAATGAATCTCAATGGCCATTGAACTTCCTAAGGCCCATAGGGCTAAGAAAGGAGGCTCTTAAAGGCCCAGTATTTGACCCGTTTCTCCTTTCACCCAACCCCTAATTCATAGTAGAGAATGTTCTGTGGCCTATTTCCTCCCTCCTGGGAGTTCTTATCCTTAGTTTCCATTTTTTTTTTCCCTACGATAATAGAAAATTATATAAAAGTTGAAACAAAACCAAAGATTCAGAACAAACAAGAAGTGATTGTCCTCTTCGAGCAGCATAAGTAAAATAGTCACCATAAATATCATAAACGTCCCCAGGCACATCCTGCAGGATCTTCCTGCGTGCTCTGGTTCCAAACCCTTCCGTGACCTAGCCCATTGATTTCTCAGCCTGTAATGTGTCTTTATGCGCAATTTAACTTGTTCCAAAACACTGTTTAATAACTTTAAAACTCCCCCATTCGAAGGCTGCCTGTCTCAAGTATAATTTCACTTGGCAATTCTGAAGTGTCCTTCTCTGTCCTGCCCTTTATTTGGAAGGACACCTCTCCGAATATACAGTTAATGGTATTTTTTTTTTTTTTTTG